TATGGGACTACAGAGACTACCTCATAATAATAGACAGCATGTGGCATTTTCCTTGGTCCAGGTGATTCCTGACATACACACAGATGCTGGAACTCCTTTGCACAGCCAGTGATCCCACGGCTAAGTAGAAGTGCAGTTCAGTAGTTAAAGCATGAGCATTGGGACTACAGGCCTGGGTTCACATCCTGACTCTTAGGAGTTCATGCTCCTGGACACAAGAATTTCTGTGCCTCAGTTTCTCCTCCTGAGAAGTAGGAAGAGTAACAAACCATCACATATGTTTGTGATGGCATTGAATGAATTATTGCATGTAAAGTGTGCAGTGGATGACAAGTGGTCAGAAAGATTCATTAGAGGGTATAGATATTAAATGAGACCTTACAATTTTGCAAGTTCCAGAGGTGGATTCAAACCTGGGAGTCTGAGTTCCCAGACCATTGTTCTATGACACACAGCTGCTTTGCTTTGCCTAAAAACTATCATTTTACCTCAACATAATTTAGTTTTGACAGAATCAGAGGCATCAAAAAAAAAAAAAAAAAAAGGAACACAAAAGAAAAGAAAAAAGAAAAAAAAAGCTGTTGGTGACTCTGGATCCCACTCCCTGTGGCCCTTGACCAGAAATATTCATGATTGTTCTCCAGAGTGATCCAATGTATACAGTGTAATTCTTTCTTTTTTTAATTTTTTTTTCAACGTTTTTATTTATTTTTGGGACAGAGAGAGACAGAGCATGAACGGGGGAGGGGCAGAGAGAGAGGGAGACACAGAATCGGAAACAGGCTCCAGGCTCTGAGCCATCAGCCCAGAGCCCGATGAGGGGCTCGAACTCACTGACCGTGAGATCGTGACCTGGCTGAAGTCGGACGCTTAACCGACTGCGCCACCCAGGCGCCCCTATACAGTGTAATTCTGGATAACACCCAAAGGATAAAAGTAAATGTGTGTTTGGGGGCCACAAATTGTTGAAACTCTCATATTGTTAGGGTCCCTTTTGGACAATTCTTTATGTGAATGAAGGAACACATCTCCCCAAATACTGAACCCAATACCCCTTTTTGGTATCAAGAGTATAGGGAAAGCATGCTAAAAACAATGATGGATACCTTCCATATCAACCATTCTGGATTCACTCTACATTTCTGTAATGAATAATTTGAATACATACTTTTGGAGTTTTAAAAGATATTACATTACAATAGACATTGCCGTATGTTTTCCCCTAAGAATACCTAGTGATGACAAGAAAGGGGTGCAGGATATAGTCCATTTTTCCCAATGGAGAAAAATATCAAGGGAGCTATCTTGATAGAATAACCGAAAATCAAGAGATAAAACAAAACTATAAAACATATTCATAACTCTGTATGACCAGATAGAGAGAGGAGATTTAAAACCATGGAAAAATATTTTGAGCAACAGGTAACTGTCCAGTTAGTAGCAGTGTTAAGAAGATCTTTATGAACATACCACCGCAGCAACAATTCAGATTGTCCATCTTCGAAGACACTAGGTACAGATCTGAAAACTCACTCGCTATCAGATTTGTACTGCTCAGCTCAGAGACTGGCAGTTGGAAAAAAGGGCATCTTCCATCATTTCATCGCCATGGCAGCAGAGCTTTCATGGGGAATGCAGGTGCACACTGTCCAACTTCTGCTGTGTGGAAAGGTGTGTCTCTACAGAGACAGGGGCACCATTGGAGATTAAGTGCTTTTGTTTCAAAAGTTGAACCCTGGTCTCACACATTGTCATTCTCTGTTTTGAAAATAAATTACATGAAGGGAAATGACCTGACCCCTCCAACACCAATTATAATCACTAGTCAAAATTTCAGGATGAAGAGGGAAAAAGAAAATATTTTGAGAACAAAGAGAGGTCCCATTTTTTTAAATTTAAAACACAATCCATTCCCTTTTCTACCAACCTGAGTCAAAGGGCATCTCTAGAACGAAGTTTAAAATTTGTCCCAGATGAAATATTAGAAGTAATCATTATATCTTAAAGTCAGGTTATAGACCCATTAATTATAAACACAATTTGATGTAGAGTAATTACATACAAGGCATATTTATTTTCTTAGCAAAGGTGTGGGACAAGGAGTTTACCTTTAGCTCTTCACTGAAACACACATGCCTGTGTTTTTGATAAAAAACTAACAGCTACATTAATTACATATTTTTTCTCTACCAAATTAGTCTAGAAGTTTAGAATCAGGGATGGTAAATATAGAAAAAGTCATAAAATGAAAAATAGTAATTAAAATAATATTTACACTAAGAAAATATAGTAAAAAGAAAAATTTCAACTAAAACTAAGGTAAACTTTTCTTGTGTCAACATGGGAAAGGTGAACAGAAATGTTATTGTGTTCTTTTTGAATAGTAGAATCAGACTTCTATTAATTTTATATGTTCTAAATCTTAAGATTTTCTACTCTGCCATTGTATGTATGTTTTAATCAGAAAAACAATAGGAAAGGTATTAAATTAATACAAATTTTATAAAGGTATAAAATTAAGTAATAAAGATATGTATTTACATTGCAAAAAAAGAAAAAAAATGTCCAGGGCTTTGAGCTGAGATGCAAGGAGGACCCAGACTTAGCAGGATCCCCCGTTCTGTCTGCATGTACTACGTGGCCTAGACAGGAACCCAGAACAAAGGTGACTTTCAGGATTCCAACAGGGCACAATTCACCATCTTCTAGGTCACTGTTCTCTGATAAAAATTATGCAAAGCACATACATAGTTTTGGCTTTTCCAGTAAACACACTGTAAAAGGAAAATCAAAAACAGTAAAACAGTGAAGCTAATGTGAGTAATATATTTTTAATCTGATACATCCAAAATGTTAAGATTTCCAATGTGACACATGAAATGTGACCACATTTCAAGGGCTCGAGAGCCACTCAGAGCTGGTTGCTACCATAGAGGAGAGTGTAGATAGAGATGATTCACAGCACAGCAATAGTGTGGATGGTACTGTTCAGGATCTCCTAGGCTATACTTTAGGAACATAATGAAATAATCCACTTTGTCAGACTGAGTACTGAGAATCACATCTCTGCCTGGAATCTCCAGACCCAGAGTCAGTGTGTGAAAAAACCACATCCATGTTGCCAGGCATGGATTGGATGGTAAGCACTCAGTAATGGTTTAATCATCTAAATTCTCCATCTTGCTATCTCCTTGGCCATCTTCTTTAAAATGTGAGAAACCAGTTAGTTTAATGAATGTATAGGAATCATTTAAATTACCTAAAATAATTCAATGCTCCCCTCACCTCCCCTTGAATCCTGGCCTCCAGACTTACATTGGAGTTTCTCTCTCTCACTCACTGTATTCACACCCTCTCAATGCCTCATTAGTCCAATAATACTGTTAATTAAGGTACATAATAGATTATTGTACCTGGAGAGAGTACCTTCCCAGTTCTCTGGGACACATGATATTGGCTTCTGGTGGTCCCCAATCAGGGAGAAATTGGACCCCCAGGGGACATCTGGAAAATTCTGGATACATTTAGGGTTGTCAACAGTGGGGAAGGCACCGCTGGCATTTGGTAGACTGAGGACAAGGATGCAGCTAAACATTTTGTAAGGCATCCTGCAGCTCCTCACAAGACTTATCTTGCACAAAATGTCGAGAGAGCCCAGTTTAAGAAACCCTGTCTGAAGCCATGTCTATTAAGTCTCTTTAAGAAAAAGGAGGATTCCTCCCAATCTCTTTGAACCCAATGTTAAAGGGTCGATATCTATCTATCTATAAGGAATTAGGCACAGACCCCACTGGTGTGAATGCAATAAATATATTCTCATATTTAGATTTTGTAAAAAGTAATGAGGGCTTGCCTGGTTGGCTCGATCCGTGGAGTGTGTGACTCTTGATCTCGGAGTAGTGAAGTTGAGCCCCAAATTGGATGCAGAGATTACTTAAAAGGAAAATTAAAAAATTTTTTTTAAATGTTTATTTATTTTTTGGAGACAGAGAGACAGAGTAGGGGAGGGGCAGAGAGAGAGAGGGAGACACAAAATCCAAAGCAGGCTCCAGGCTCTGAGCCAGTCAGCACAGAGCCCGACACACGGCTCCAACTCACGAAACGCGGGATCATGAGCTGGGCAGAAGTCGGATGCTCAAGTGACTGAGCCACCCAGGCACCCCAAACGTAAGTTTTTTTTAATGTTTACTTGTTTTTGAGAGAGAGACAGAGTGTGAGTGGGGGAGGGGCAGAGAGAGAGGGAGAACACAGAATCCTAAGCAGGCTCCAGGCTCTGAGCTGTCAGCACAGAGCTGATGTTGGGCTTGAACGTGTAAAACAACAAATCATGACCTGAGCCAAAGTCGGATACTTAACTGACTGAGCTACCCAGGGGCCCTGTTAAAAACTAAAATGTTTTAATGAAATGTAACAATCATTGTTTCGAGAAGTGTAATCTAAAAGCTCACTCCGTGGACACCATCATTTCTCCCCAGCTATTTCTGTCTGTGATTGCAAATATGTATTTTCAAGGATTTGTGAAGCAAACTGGAGTGTGTGCAAAATCACAGGAAATTGGACAACGTTTCTGTTTTGAAACTTCTGCTACCGAGTGTAACAGAAATGATACTACTAATGTTACAATAAATCCTATCCTGCATCTTCTATCTAAACTAACATTCACATCAAAACTATTATTGATTAGCCGTTTCACAGAATTTCCACCCCTTGGTAATCCTAGTAAAGTGTATGAGGTTTAAATCTGTTGGTGGCTGACAAAGGTGTGAACTCAGAGCATTTATAGTCCATTTAGAACAATGTCTCTCAAAGTCAAACACAACCACCACTTCTCAAAATTGTCATTGTATGAGTTTCACGTTTGCTTTCATTTGTTCAGCTCAAGTTTGGAAATGTGTGAAAATGTACAAGAAGCACAAGAATTGTAGACTTGACTTCTGAGGTAGGATATTAGAAATAATTCTTAGATAATCTTAATATTTCCCCTTCTTGATGTCGTGCCACAATTCAGGTAAGTTTCCTTTGCTTTATTCTTTATATAGTGTGCAATCAAGTTTTCTCCCTTCCATTATGTTCTGTTGTTTGTATTACTCCTAGATAACCAGGAAAGTGTAGGGAGAAGCAAGGTCAGGAGACAATGTATAGGAAATCTGATGGATTTCAAAGTATTAAGTCATAGATCAATCCAAGAGTCACTATTTGTTGTCTACTTTTCTCCTTGTATTTGATATCCAAAATCAAGACCACAGGCCCAGCTCTCTTCTAAATTTGTGTCATTAAAGAAAATTTAAGACCACCCCCATCCAAATAAATACAGTGACGGATTCTATCAGAAGCCCCCACAAGTTGTCCTGGGAGAGCAAAGTACAAACATCATTTGTCCTGGGACAAAAGGAAAGGTTTCTACAGGTAGGAACAATTGAGGGGACATTGGGTGTAGCGGAGTTTGGCCACACAGTAAGGATGGATCAAAGTTCCACGGAAAATGGGAAGGCTGAACACATATCTACAAATTGAAACGGCTACAGTTTTTAATCGTCCTGTGAAGAAGCAGGGGGTGAGGCTACCCCTGGTTATCAGGAGACAGAAATGTTTACTGAACGGAGCAACTGCAGGATCAGGTGGGTGTTTGCCTTCAGGTGGGCATTTCAGAAGGTAAGAGTGGATGCCTTAAGCCTGCATGAGGCCAGGGAACAGGGAAGTGCTTCCATAGTCTTTGACATAGCTCCACCTAGCGGCCAGCCGTGTTTACTACCACTCGGTTCACCCAACCTTCTTCGTGTGTCTGCCAGTCACTCAAGAACTACAATCCTGTTTTTCTACAGTTGAAGAATAAAGACCCAAATAAGTGAGACACAACAAAAACTCCTCAAATTTCATCGACAGGTCACTAATAATGGTACTTAAAATGCGTGTAATTTACCAATTGTTATGACCTTCCCCTATTTTGAATCTCAAATCTGTTTAAAATATGCTTCGTGGGCTTTGATACACCGATAATCTTATATTTTACTGTGCAGGAAAACGTGATGGCAGTAAGAGATTTCTACTTTCTAGTCACTGAGTGGCAATAAAATCAAAGTGAAGATTTATCTCCTAGGATTGGAACCAAGCACAGCCAAATTCCATCTCCTCCTCAGCTTGGTACCCCACGGTTCCTCAAAAATAGGTTTTGTGCCCATAACTCTGGGCCCACATGTTTCAAATCGTTGAGCTAACGTGAGTGAGAATTCATATCCTATAGAAGCTTAGTGTATTAAGTAGTAAACCAGAAGGTTTTAATTTTAAAAAGTGAGTCAAATTGAAATGGGAATTTTATGACACATTATGTGCTTGACAGATGAAGCATATTTGTGTAAGCAACATAACTATGGAGTATTGTATAGAGACAGTAATATTAATGAAATTAAATATTCATGTCTGGTTTTGTCCACAAAACAAGAAAAACATGATATTTATTGACCACAGATAATTCTTCACATTTATCAATCCTCATATTCAAAATTTCTGAAACTGCTGTTTCTTTTGAAATTTTGGTTCCATGTGGAATAAAAACACATGTGGCACCATTTCTGTCATCAGGAAATCTCAGTCCTCCCAGAATTAAGTTAAAACATAATCGGATGATGAAATAGGTGAGTCCTGGTATGGTAGGGTGGCAAGAGGACCCTTTAACATAAGGAGCCCCTTCTGAATCAATCTCATTTCAGAACTGAGTCCCCTTTGAAGGGAGTTGGAAATCAGAGAAGAATCTCCTAGAGGAGGAGTCCACTCTTCTGCAACCTCCTTTTTGCTGGTCAGTGTTCTACAAAAGGCACATGTGAGACGGCAAAGTCCAAGGAACGAATCCTTCTATGAATACAGCAAGTGTTATTGAGGCCACCTCCATCACAAACACAGTGTGTGCCACTAGGGACACTGTATACGCCTGGGCTCTCTGCTCTAGAAACTGTGGGTGGGAGTAGATTTTCAGTAGCCAGGCTTGAGAGATGACATATTCTTTCTTTTCCCTAAACAGATCATGACTTGGACTGTTATACGAGATGTTGAATTGAGTTTCTCCCATTGATTGGTTCAACCTCTCAGCTGCTGCTGTGGGTCTGGGCCACAACCAGGTTGGAGTGGTTCTGCGAGTTGGGAGGATCTCACAGCCTAGACTGGTGATCGCAGGCAGAAATAGAATGGGACCAACCCATGTCAACTACAGATTGTCTAGTAGCTCTATGGTAAAAATAAACAAGTCAAAAATCAAATCATTGTAATGGGCAAAATGGTACCACTTCAACATGTCTTTGATTTCAAAAATACATTGTTTTTAAAACCTCAACAAGAAAGTTTCTTCTTCTTCTTCTTCTTCTTCTTCTTCTTCTTCTTCTGTTATTCTGTCCTCAGAATCAGTGTGCATGTCACACTCAGAGCACGGCTCAATTCAGAGGAGCTGAATTCCAAGGGCTTGATTTCCACAGGTGGTTGGTGGCTACAATATTGGACACCCCAGGTCTAGTCTATTTTACCAGCTCAGGTCAAAGCTGAATGACCAACTGAGTCTTTAATTCTACTTAGTATCTCAAATATCAGAAGATATCAGAAGAGCAGCACCAAGAGTCACTTATGTTTATATTTGTAGTGCATTTATATTTCCTAGTAGAGGGAGGACACGTAGTAGGTACGTGACATGTCTATGCAAACAAAGAGGATTAAACTCAACGCAGTCCTGTTCCTTTAGGTCCTTAGGAAACTCTAATATCATGCTCATTTTTCCACAGAGAGTGGGTATGGCTGAACATTTTAAAGAAGGAAGTAGATGTCTCATCTGCCTCAGTTATCTTGAAAAACCCATGTTCCTAAAATGTGGTGATGTCCGCTGCCTCCAGTATGTCAATTCATGCCAGAAGGAGCCCTGTGAGGATGGTTTGTTGTGCCCATTTTGTCTGTGGTCACTCAGAAAGATAAGATCAAGACAGGTGGTCAGCTGGGGAAGCTGGTGTCCGAGATTGAGGACCTGGAGTGACCTTTGAGAACTATTCTCATCCTTTTCACAGAAGGATACTGAAACACCAAGGTGAGGCATCTGTCCTGTCCCAGGTCCTCTGACTCACATCCGGGGACAGGAGGTAGGAATTGGCCTTGGCTAAGTTAGATGTTGAAACACAAGGTCCAAGCAAGCATAGGTGGCCCTTATAGACCGGATCCTTTCCTATGGGCAAGGAAAGCTTTACCACTCTCCCAGGGGGAAGCAGACAAGCTCCTCTCTACACAAAGCTCCAATTGGGGAAGCTAATGGAAAGAATTACAAGAGGAAAAGCCCAAGTCCCACCCTCTGGGCCCTGTGAGGAACAAGAGGTCTAATGATACAGGGTGGTGAGAGTGGTGACCCTGCTCCCCACCCCACATGCAATACAGCCTATCATGACACCTGCACAGTCACAGTGGACTGTGAAACTCTCCCCTCTTTGCCTCACTCATAATCTTTCTTCCTAATACCCCGTCAAACTTTGCCTACAGCTTTCAATTAAAACACAATCAGTACGCGTCCTATTGAAATCATGAATTATATGTCTTTAGCATATTCCAGCAAGGTAAGGTCACAGAAGACACTGATTTTTAAAATCTAATACAAGTTCTATTTCTTATATTTATTTACAAAATTGGAAAGAGAAATGTAAGTAACTGGAAAGCCTTACTCCTTAACATATTCCAAGTTAACACTGCATTGAATTTGCTTCAAAATTGTCTGCTCTCTTTGGCTTTTCTGTATATATGACAAATCTGTAGAATCCCAGTCTGAGAAATGGTGCGAGAAGGTGACCCAGGGCATCCAGAGGACTCTGAAGGGTTTGAGGGGATGACTGGCCTTGGGCAACTCCCAGCCTGGACTGGAGGCTAAAGACAGGCTGCTCTATGCCCATGAGGATGTGGAGCTGAGCCAGGGGAACCACCTTACTTGATTCACAGGGAGACCCCCAGCCTCTGTCCTCCTCCCTCTTTCCCCGGGAGCCTGAACTGGGAAAAACCCAGCCAACCCTGCACTATCTCACCTTGCTGAGTGGCTGATGTGCTCCCTGTTTACCTTGAGAGGGTTGGGCAGCATCGGGTCCTGCAGGACTGAGATATTGAACCCTCCAGGGACACCTTTCCCAAAGAACACAATGTGACCTGCTCCATGTGGCCCTGCAGGGGCCTCCAGCCCTGTAGCCCAAATGCAGAAGTCAGTGGAGTCAGGAGTCAGTGGCCCAACAAAGTTAGGGCTGGGCAGGTCATGGCTATCTGCTCCTTGGGATATGTTGTCAGTACACCCTTCACTTGTGGCACGTGGCCATAACCTTCATGTCCTTCTGCAATGTCACGTGCATTGTGGGCTGCCCCAGCGAGCTCCTGGGAGTTCAGGTTCCCTGAAGGGCACTTGTTTGCCTTCTGCACTTCCTCCTCCCTCTCTGCACTCCATTTCTTCCTCCTGTTCCACTCCATGCCCCTTCTTTCTTGACACATTCTTTTTCATCCACAATAGGCGGATTTCTGGAATCAGATTCCTGATGGAATAATTCTTGTTTTAAAATTGTGTGATCTTGGTAGCTGTAAGGCAGAAGACAGTCATGTGATTACAGAGGCCCCCATCCCCGTCTCTGGGGCAGGAGAGCACCAAGACGGGCTCGGCCAGGGCAGACACAGGCTCCCAGGGGGGCCCTCTAGCAAAGCGATCCCAGCCCTCCTCATTCCAGCACAGTGCCCAACCCACCACACAGGGCTGCTCAGCCCTGGAAACAGGGTGCTTCTGGGAAAGCTGGTGATAGGATGCTGGGGAGATTGTATAGACACTGGAGATGCTAGGCCCTCCTGGGCCTGGATGGGACTGGGTCCTTCAAGATGGGAATCATCCAAAGAGGGAGCAGGGAAGAGTCACACAGGAGACTTAAGTGCCAGAAATAAATAGAAAAGAGCCAGAAGTAGGAAGTAAGTTATATGCAGATGGCTAGTGTCTGAATCCTAATCCTCAGGATCTGTAAAACAGACTTCTGCATGTACAAGGGCAGTGACAGTGATGGGGTGGCCATGGGAAAGAGAGGATGAGGTCAGGGGAGGTGAGAACTCAGGCTGCTGCTTCTGGGATTACATCCCTGACCCCAGATGGCAATGGTGGCCTCACACTACAATCCCCCTGGGGCCCTCTTCCCTCCTTTCTCTAATGTGATGAGGAGCAGGTCTAGGGACTCCAGGCCCTTCCTAGTCCTCAGAGTCCATACCTGGGATCAGGAAGCAGCACCTGAGCCACCCCATCCCTCCAAGAGGCAGTCACTTTCCCTAGGACTTTGTGTGCAATACACTGCCCGCCTCCCAAGTTCCCTCCCCAGTGACCACCTGGACTCCTTCCTGCCTCCAGATTCCTGTCCATTTCCCATCTCCTGGTCAGCCTCCACCTTTGTATTTTTCTCCAATATGGGGACAGTGGAACCCAAGTGTGCATGCCATGGCTATACTGCCACCTTAACCAATCAACGCATCAATTAATCAATCCAGCCAAATCCAGGGGCACCTTCATGGTTGTGCTTGCCCAAAGTCCCCCAGTCTATAGGTGAAGCGAGGGGAAAACATCAACAGGTGCAGCCATAGAAACCCCTGTGCCTGCCAGCCTCTGCCCTGAGCACTGGAAGGAGTGGGGGAGGACCCAGGCAGGCACAAGAAAGATCACACGGAGGGCTATAACCATGGTGTGGGGAGCAGGCCCATTGCTGTGTGGCTGGAGGAGTGAGATCTGACAGGGGCAGGAACCCCAGCCCCACTGCCAAGAGCCTCTTTCCTGGGGCTGTTCACTCCCAGGAGACAGCTCAGTGGGGCCTGGAGACCCAGTGTGTGCGAGGGTCCAGCGGCATTCACACAGGCCTCTAGAAATCCTGCCAACCAGGGAGGGTACCAGCGGGTGGGGTGGGGGGGGAGCTGCACAGAGGTCCCTTCCATGTGGAGGCAAGTACAGGATTTATTCAGCTCCAGGGACCCAGGATTTGTGTGAGGAGAGGAGGAGAGAACTTGCTCCAGGGAGCATCTCCCACCTCACTTCTTCAGACTGTCCCAGAAGCACTTGCAGGATATGGAGAGGAAACATTCTCTGTGACGCCCACCCAGGGAGCACGCTTTCACCCAGGGGCAAAGCTGAAGGTAGCCCATAAAGGTGCTGCTCCGTGACCTGAAGGTGCAGAGGGAGAGGGTCCCTGGGTCCCCAGCACCCAGCTCACATGGAAGCACTTTGTCTCCGTTTCAAGTGTGCATGCCAGAATATGCCTCATCAGACCACCTCTGTCACAGATCACACCAAATCCGACCCAGTAAACTGCCCCTGCTCAAGTCCCAAGATGTGTGAACCTACCGTAACCAAGGCTTTGATGCTTGGCAGAGGCAGAGTAGAAGAGAGCAGGTCTTAGCGGAAAGAGAGACTTTAAATAACAAAGCAAGAAAAGATTGCAAACAGTACACCCTAAGCCAACAGACATAACAGCTCTTATCCCTACAGCATTAAAATATGAGAAGGACGCACATTTCCTTTTCTCTCTGATTTCATACCCACCTCCCTCAGTCTCCAAAGCTGCAGGTATAACCTGAAAGCTCCCAGAAAACATTTCCTGATACACCTGAGGGCTGTTCCCTACCTAGGGGTTCTTCATCCTCGCTGCTCAAATCATATCTTCAGTGGACAATCCAATCTTTACAGACACAAGCATGAGCAAGCAGGGTACTAGATAGAGGGTCTCTCCTGTTCCTGCTGCTCCAGCTGAGGCCATGCTGGACCACCTGGCATCAGCTGTCCTTCCTCTGGGTCCTCAGACCTTCCCTGGGCTTGGTGGAGTCAGAGTCCTTCAACGAGACATTGATCACACTTGCAAACCTTCAAATGAGAGAAAGGATCCACCTTCACCTGGCACTTCCCCAGCTGCACTGGATCGTGATAGCTCTCACCTGGGCACAAACCAACCTGACCTTCCCACTGTGAAGGACACAAGTTGGGTTAGGTGGGTTCCATGAGGACACCCTGAGCCAGGCTCAGAGCAGCTGCCCAGGAGAGCCATCTGTTGGGATGGAAATGCTCTGTGTTGTAAACATGCACCTGCTGGGTACCTGAACTATGGTTAGTGTGATGAGGGATGGAATGTTTAACTTCATTTACTTTAATTAATTTAAACATGAGCCGGCACATCTGGCTAGTGGCTTCCCCCCTGGATAGTGCAGCTGTAGGATCCAAAGATGCAGAAGATTTGACATGCCTGCCCTGGGGGTGCCTGCAGAGGATTTGCTGGCCTGACACGATCTTTCATTAATAGGTTCTTAGGGCTCATACACATGTTCCAGGCACTCCATGAGTCCCTGGGAACACTCAGAGAGGAAGGCCACCACCCAAGCCCTACAGGAATCCCAGCAGGGGCCCACTTGTAAGCAGAGTGAAGAGCATGACCCTTCACACCTGTGCTGGATGTAATCAGAGCAGCAGAGTAGCGGGGAGCACCTCACTGTCCTCAGGAAACCACCCCTCTCTCTCAGATCTGGACTAGAGCCAGGGCAGATACCTAACTTAGTGTGGGGCCCAACAGGCTGGGACAAGCTGAGGAGGGACCTTTCCACTCATGAACTAGATCCCAG